ATACAATAACTAAATTTACAAAATTTTTTTTCATATAATTCAATTTTAAAAAGTAATTAAGCAACCTTTCCATATCATAGTTAATTGATAAAATGCCAAAATATCATAACATATCATATCACTATCATTGCCATTAACACTAATATAATCCTGAAAATCAGAATGAATATTTCCGTACTTATTTATTTCCGTAATATTTGATCAGATTTTCCAACAAATGAATAAATCAATCATTTATTGATTTAATTATTTGGAAATAAGAAAATCTGTTCAAATACTAACATTGCCATTGCTTACAGCCAGCCGCCTATTAATTCAAAATTATATTTTTGGTATAATTGTTATTTCTTCAATTTCTAATAAATGATCTTCATTTAACATTTTGTTTACAATAAATTTCAACAATGTATATCGATTTGTTCTTTGATCTCCTTATTGTTGTCATCAAAATAAGTTTTCATGCTAATATTTTTGTTGCAAACATTTTTATTCCAATAAATTTTCATTACAAAAATTTCATTGAGAAAATTTATTTTTTGAAATTTGTAAAATTATATGAAAATATTCAACTAATTAATATTTCGTTGTTTTTTCTTTCTTTAAAATAAGTATATTTTAAATATGTAAAAAACGAATATTTATTTTAATCGTTTAATTAATTATTTATTAATTTTGGGTCTCTTTGTTTTTTCGAAATTATTAATTTAATTATTCGAAAAATAGAATAATAGTTTTTGCTTGTTGAATTTAAATTAAAATTTGAACTTTTGAACTTTATTTAATTGTAATTTAGATTCAGAATGGTATATGTATTGAAATGAAATTTATTAAATGATAATTTATCAAATTTAATTTTTCAAAATAATTGAATGAAATTGTATTTATATATTGAAAATTTCCAATATTAATAATATTATTTGAATTTTTGGTCGGCTAATTTTTTCTTTTGTTTTTGAAATGTTTTTTTTTTACAACAAATTAATGCAACAATTTAATTACTATTGTTTTTAATTACATATTGGAAAGAGAAAAAAAGCTGAATAACGATGAAATGATAATGAATAAATCGTTTAATTGTAAAATTTCATTTAAAATTAAATTAATTTTTAAGTTAATAAAACAATGAGAGAGGAAAAAACAAAAGAATAGTGATGAAATTATGAAAGTATTTTAAACATTTAATTATACCAATTTATTAAAAGTAAATATTTGATTATATCAATTCATTAAGTAATAATTCTGTGTTTATTAAGGATGATCAATATCCATCCATTTAGCAGAATTAGTTGCCAAAAGACAATAGCTGTCATTATTTCACCAATTAGTTAGTTGTTCAGTTCATAGTAGAATTTTGGTTACTGCTGAGGTACAAGTTCTGATATTTTATTCAGTTCCGATATTCAAGTTTTTATATTTTATTTTTTCATTTTTTATATTAAGTTTTTAATTATTGAATTTTATTATCAACTAGATTAGTTCTTATAAGTTTATCGATATTAAGTAATTATTCGTTTTTTTATTTGACTGAATAAATGCTCTAAGCGAACATTATCTTCTCGTTACATTTCCATCGAAATAACCAAGAGAAAATACGAGGAGATAATAATATGATGTAATGATATGTTATTGTTAGATACTAACGATGATGATATGATATGATATCAGAAGTGATATAGAATTTTGTTAAGTGATGAAGTTAAGTTATAATGTATAATAGTAAAATAAGTTAAGTTGATAAGAAAAGTTTCTATCAATGATGAGGGGTGGAAAAGAAAAAATTCGTTTCGCAAAATAAAACTTAGTTGTAAGAATTCTATGCTAGCAGTTGTTCACAAATGTTTTGACATAAGAAGCATCTTTTTTTACAACTTTTTCCATTCAACATTTCTGTAATGATATTATTATTATTATAGAGAGCAGAAAGGGTAGAAAAGAAAAAGAGAAATGATAATTTTGAAAAATTTATTAATTAAAAAAAAACAATCACTTTTATATTTGCTATGCTTAATTTCTTCTTTTGTTTTTTCTTTTAAAGTTTTTCTAAATTATTATTCTTATATTTTATACTGATATATTTCAATTATATTTTATACTAATATTATTTGATTATTTTATATTTTATACTATTATATTTCATTATTTTATATTTTACACTAATATATTTCAATTATTTTATTCATTTAAGTCATAAATTTAGCATTTACAATTAAATTATCACAATTACTTAACATTAACAAATTATATAAACATGTATGGAACAGGTAATGAGATTGTATATATGAGGCAGGTATCATCATTATTTATATAGATGCAGATATTATCATTATTCGTATAATTGTTTTAGATTCTTTATCGACAATATAATCGAAATTATGGTATGTAATTTTTGGTAATAACTTTTTGATAATCAAATATATTATTGCTTAATTCTATATTAGAAATGAAATCTTATCATTATAAACTATTTGAAAAATTTTGATAGGAAAAAGTGAAAGATTGAAATTTAATTTAACTTTTAAAAATGTCCTGAAATTATTGAAAAAACTTCAATATAACTTAAAAATTTTCACAAATTATCATTATAGGATTGTCGAAAGCCTATTCTAATATTAATTTTGAATCCTAAAAAGACCTGAAATCAATGGTAGACATTTGATTATAATTTTTAAAACCATTCCGAAATGTATCTGAACCGGTAATTTCTCTTTCGCCTAAAAACGTATAATTTTATTTGTTGTTTTCTTTTCCTTCCTTCCATATATTTGTTTCTTTGTCGTTTTTTCAATTTCCGTTTTTCTTTTTTTCAAACACTAAACGATAAGCCAAACGATAAGCCTATTATTTTCCGATATATCGTATCTTAAAAAGATGTAGTACATAATTTTCATCATATTGTTTTCATGTAAGATTTGCACTTGAATATAGAAATCCTGATCCATTCGTTACTTTTAATAGCATTAATCCATCCGTTACTTTTGATAACGTTGGTCCATCCATTCGTTAGTTTTGATAACGTTAATCCATCCGTTACTTTTGATAACGTTAATCCATCCATTCGTTACTTTTAATAACATTAATCCATCCGTTACTTTTGATAACGTTAATCCATCCATTCGTTACTTTTAATAACATTAATCCATCCGTTACTTCTGATAACGTTGATCCATCCATTCGTTACTTTTGATAACGTTAATACATATTTGCTTTTACGATGGCAACGTACTTCTTTGCATCGCCATACAGAATGTTAAAAGCTATGGAATGTAAAGAAGTATGTAGTCCGTGAAGCTTTCTTCATTCCACCTCACCATTTCGTTAGCACTACTTCGTTACTTTACTAATGATAACTTATTTTTTTGACTAGCAGCAATAGCTTTTTAATTCTTAAAATTCTTTTACTTATACGAAAAAAAATTTTGTTTTTTGCATTCATTATTGATTATTGATGTTATCAATGTTTGTTCTGATAATAAATGATATCATATCATGTATCATTCGTATAATTAATGCAAATTAGGCGAACTTCCGTAGTAATCATTTGTATGAGTAATGGAAAATCTTATATAATTGCTATGTCTTCTACATTGCTATAATACTATAAAATCATTTCAAATAATTATTTAATTAAAATTTATTATTTGCTTATTTTTAATTAGCAATAATAGCTTTTCAATTCTTAAAATTCTTTTATTTATACGAAAAATTTTTTTACACAAAAAAAAGTTTTTGAAAATTTTTAAAAGCAAAGTGTTGTAATATACGAAAATAATAATACAACGATAAATATTAAACTTATTTATTGTTTTAAGATTATATCAAATTTGCATAATATTTATTTCCATCCTTTTACATTTTCATTTCATTTTCCATTCATTCATTTCTAATTATTATATCTGTTATTGATTTCTAATTATCTTATCATTTCTTATTGTTTTATAATAATATTCTCGTATTAAATAAGCACAATATATGTGTTCGTACAATTCATTTACCGTTTTAATTCCTCTATCTATCTATTTTATCTATCTATTTTATCTGTCTATCTTATCTATCCATCTATCTATCTATCTAATCTATCTATCTGTCTTATCTACCTATCTATCTTATCTATCTATCTATCCATCTATCTATCTATCTATCTATCCATCATATCTATCCTACCTATCTATCCATCTTATCTATCTATCTAATCGATCTACCTTATCTATCTACCTACCTATCTATCTATCCATCCATCCATCTGTCTTATCTATTTCTCTTATCTTGTCTATCTTATCAATTTATCTTATCAATCTATCTTATCTGTCTATCTTATCTATCTTATCTATCTATCTTATCTGTCCATTTTATCAATCTAATCATATCTTATCTATCTAATCTATTTATCTTCTATTATATATATCTTTCAAATAATTAATTTCCGCTAAGTAACCATTTAAGTGACTTTATTTTTTAAATTTGCATATATTAGTGTAGATGATACATATCTATTATTCATTTCATATTAAAAAAAATAAATCCATTTCCTTTATTCTTTTATTCGACATTATCGAGATCGGAAATATCATTTACAATATACAGATGGCAGCTTATTGCGAATTATTCATCCAACCATTTTATGATAGATATATCATAACGATTTGATAAATATCAAAAACTTCTTTATAAAACAAAACAAAACAAAACAAAAATGAAGTAAAAACAAACAACATGTAGGAAAAAGTTTTTTTTCATTAATTTGATTAAATTTTCTGAAATCAAAATAGTAATTAAAAAGAACAAATTCATTTTAAAAGATCAAAAAATTTTAGAGTAATTATATTAATTAACTTTTTTTGTTAAATGAAAAATTCATAAATATAGAAACATTTATATTTTCACTAATTTAATTAAAGAAAGTTAAAACAAAAATTTACTTTTAAATATATGTTTAATTATCTAAATGAAATATTGCAATATTGACAAATGCGCCTTCATTGTATTCTCATTAATTATTATTACTATCCCGCGCATATTCTTGAAATGCCTAATAACCAAAATTTACATGAATTTCGAATATCTTTACAAATTTGAATTAAAAAATTCTCTACAACTACTATTATCTAAACGATGAATTGCTAATGAAATTTTACAGGTGATATAATTTGATACGTTTGATTTGATAATTTTTGTGATTATTTGCTGTTTCATGATTAGAATGAATAATTCGAAATTGTTATACGATATTTATTATCAACGAATTAGTTCGATTATTGATAGTTTTGATAATATTATCAATTTTTTTCATAGAATTTGATTGTATCGATTCAATAGTATCATTTCGTGAATAAACAGCTGAACCGATAGATTTTGAACGCACGTTATTATTAATGGTTAAAAGATCAGGTGTAATCTTTATACCAGCTAATATACCAGAAATTCTATCATTTTGTTGAATTTTAATTCCATTATTGATTGCTGAAATAAAAGAGAAAGGAAGAAAAAAGATAGTAATAATTATTATTGTTAAATAATAAAAAGAAGGGTGGTGTAAAAAAATTTCTGCAAACTGCAACTTATTACCGCGATATAATAACAACTGCCACTATCAAATAATACTTTTATTTATTTCCTTTCATTAAAATAACAATTTTGAAAAATGAAAAAATATTTTGCTTCAATTTATTATATTATTTCATGTTTAGATGCAACAAAATATCATATATCGTTTGCTTAGCCATTTCTTATTCCACTTATATTTTATTTAAAATATTATATATTATTTGATATTCATAACATATATTATATTAATAAATGAATTGAATATTATTTTGATTGATTTATATGAAATATATTACAATATGTTAGGAATATTATGATAATATTTTGTGATAATGTGATAATATTTGATAATAATATAAAAAGTATCATCAAAAATCTGAATTCATTTATTGATAATTTGTATGTGTGGTGAAATTTCAACATTGTTTGAAAGTGAAAAAATGTTAAGAGGAAAAATTCATTTACATCATTAAGATAGCCTATTGCTCTTTCAGTACATTTTCATTAATGTTACCGTACCAAAAACTTTAAAAATATGTAATATAAATATTACCGTTGATTAAATTGATATTTACTTTAAATGGTACTGCGATTTAATTCAAATTCTACTATTAATACTACTATTACTGTAATGGAAATTGGAAATGAATTTGAATTCAATCACTTATAAGAAAGAAAAGAAGGAAAGACATAATATAATATGATATTATGATATGATAAAAAAAAAGGAATATAGTGATAATAATTAAATAATAAAAAGAAAGCTCAAATTTAAATTGCAAAAGATAAGTGATTGAATTCAAAATTCATTTCTATTTTAACTATCACAATGAAAGTTAGATATAAATTTGAATTGAATTGAATTGCATAAAATAAAGAAGAAAAAATAGAAGAACTAACTTATTATGAATTTTATAAATCAGCCTAGTATTGATATCAGAAATTGACTTACTGGTTATTGGTTTTAAACTTTCAGCTAATAAATCATTAGCACGGATAGCATCATCTATAACTGCTCGGACACCTTTCCATGTTTCAACAGCTGTTGGAATTAATTCATTTTTATTTAAAATAAATCCATTTGATACTAAAAATTGAAATTTTAAAAAAATGAAATACTTCTTTGTTTGTATTTTATGAACACTTGTAAATTCAAAAGATTTAATATAAGCGAATGATTTGAGATTTCTAAAATGCAAAATGTAAATTTGAATGAAAGCTTTGTTATATTATTTTTCAAATTATACTTTTTTTCTCATTTGCTTTATTTATGATAAGAATTTCTTAGAATTTAAATTTCAAAATTTAAATTATCCAATATCAGTAAGATAATTCACATACACTCTAATTGAGGTCGAAGCTCTACCAAATAAACAAATTTTACTCCAAGTACTTCTTTAGCCCAATCATCAGAACCACCAGATGCTGGTGCTGAAAATTTCTTCGCCATTAAACAAAATGTTCAATACTTTGCTTAAATATTACTATAACTTAAAATAACTGGCTTAATAAAAGTTGGCAAGAATTTTTTGAAAAAGAATTTTCGTAATTTTAATTTAAAATTAAATTTCCTTTATGAAATGTTAATAATGTTAGCAAACCTAAAATATCAGCACCAGTACCAATCCTGTACTGTGTTCCGTAAACTTTTTTCAACCGGTTAACGGCACGTTTTGCTGTATGTTTCTGGAAATATTTCTAGAAATTTTATTCACAAAAAAACGGAAAGAAAATTTTAAATGAAAGAATTTTTTTAATTAATTAGAATTGAAATAATTTGTAATATTTGTTTAAAAAGATATTTTTAATTTGTACTAAAATTAAATAGCTTGCAGTAATAATTAACAAAAATAAACTTTATGATAAATTTATCAGTTTGTTATATTTTAACATAAAGTGAACATGAATAAACATTATAGCAAATAAGTAATAATAGAAATAATTAATTAACCAATTGTGCATAATTATCAGGAAACGAATCCACTTTATGACTATATGGATGTATCCATAATTGTGCATATGTATGAAGTGTTATAAAACCATCTAATTTACCTCGCATTTCAGGTGACAATAAGAAATCTCTTACTGCTCTGAAATTAATTTTTTTAATTAATTCATTAGAACAAACTTCATTGATAATAATTCTTTTTCTTTTCTAAAAAAACTGATTTAAAATTTTATTTTAATTAAATTAATTCTTTTAAGTAATATTTAATTATTGTGCCAATTTTATTTGTTTAGAATTGAAGGAAATAAATTTCACTTTTAATTAGCGAAAATTATTTTTGAACTTTCTTCTCTTTTGCTTAAATTTTATCAAAACAGACTTCTCACAATACCGTTGCTTACATATGCAAATAATATGTAATGTTTTTAAATTTTAGATTTTATTAATTAAAATATTATTAATATGATAATAATTGTTAAAGAGAAAGGCTGTAAAAATTTTTTTCAAATATAATCCACAATTGTTTTTTGGTTTGTCAACGCTTTTAAAAGGTTAATTAGCTAATTTAAAAGGTTAATTAGCTGATTGGTTAGTTGCGATAAATCAATTCATTTCTTTCAAATATCATTTCGATGATAAATTAACTTATTCATTTCTTTTGTTTTACTTTTTTCTTTCTTTCTCTCTCTCTCTCTCTTTATTTATTTTTTGTTTTCAAAGAAAGAAACCTTGTTTCTGGTTCGCTAAATGCGCTTTCACCTTGATATAAATATGAACATGGATTTTCACTTGAACCAACTTCTGAAATTTTCATTTCTTTTTCTTGTAAAACAAATTTATCATTTTTCTTTTGTGATCTTATCTTTCTTTTGTTTTTCTGATAATGCTTAATCACATTTGTTGCATTATCATTTGAATTCAATTTGTTCCAATTTTCAATTCAAATTATAGTAAAATAGACAAGTGTCATTGTGCAATGTCCGATAATAAAAGGTGTCATTGTAATAAACAGGTGTCATCGTGCAATGTTCCGATAGCTTTTTTTTCATCTTAACAACAAATTGAAATAGACATCAAATCAATGATTCTAACAAATTTCAATAAATATCATTAATCATTAAAAATTCATTGATTTTATTATCAGACAATTTTTGTCATCCATTCCACCAATATGACTTATACTATAATTCTTTTTTTGATTTTCTTATCATCAAAAAATAAAGAAAGAAAAGGGAAAACATCAAAGAATAAAATCAAACCAGCCCAGTGAAAATCGAAATTACGATTTAAATCGACCCCTTCGCAACATCGTCGCCCACCCCACGGTGATCGCACACATTTTTGCGGTGAACGATTCTTGCGCCATAATCGGACCTACAAAATGAAATTGTTATTGCAATTAATTCCGTTCATAGTGTTAAACGATATGCTGCTTATCTTTAGTATGTAAAGTATTGGTATAACAATCGGAATTGTATATTCTAATTTAAAAAAAGGGAAAAATAGTTAATAACCTGAGGATTTGGTTTTGATCGTGTATATTCATAGCCATCCGGATTCAAACATGGAAAGATGTAAATATTGAGAGATTTTAAATAACGTGTTATAACCGGATCATTTCCAAAACCTGAGACCAACTGAAAAATTTCTCCAATATCCGTTCTGTGCAATTTCTTTCCCAATTAAATTATCCAAAATCTTTGAAGTGAAAATTTGTATTAAAATTAAATTTAAAAAATTGCAAATTTCTTTTGTTTTTATTTTGATTTTTTAAATGAATAAATTAAGATAATTTTTTAAAAAATTTTAAAGAAACAAAATTATAAAATTGTTCCAAACAAAATATTTAAACTTTAAATAAGTTATATTTTTAAGTGCATTTTATATTTATAAATTAATATGAGAATATCATCTGATCATTAATTATAGTAATTAAGATTAAATTATATAAAAAATAAAAAACTGATAATGTTATCTAATCATTTAATATTATTCTGACCTTTGATATTAAATGATACGAATATATCTATACCTGATTAATAAAATAAAGTGCTGTATGACTTGAGGCCCATTCTCTTGCATGAATATTACCATCAATCCAAAATGCTCGTTTACTATTATCGCTTATCGGATAACCAATCTTCAACAGCACTGAATAATTTCTACTATCACATTGCTTATTTATTATTATCAAATTCTTTATCCTTAAGCTATTATACTATTATTCATTAAAAACTCTTTATTCTAATTAACAAATTGAAATTCCTTATTTTAATTAATAAATTAAAATTCTTTATTCTAGTTAACAAATTAAAATTTTTTGTTCTAATTAAGAAATTAAAATTCTTTGTTCCAAATGAAAAACTAAAATTCCTTATTGTGATTAACAAATTAATTATTATCTAATTGTTTTATGTGAAAGCTTATCAATTTTACAATGATAATAACATTTGCTAATAATATAAGAAAATGAAAATTAATCATTATTACTCTTTTATTTAATTTTTAATTTTTGCTCAAACTTTTAATTTTTCCTTTGTTTTTTTTAAGCCAATACAAAAACAAAAGAAATATGTTAACCTTTAAACCCTCAATTGGTGCACCTTCATGTGACACACCAATTCGCACAAGTTTTGTTATATGTGGATAATAAAATTCGATAGTGCGCATATATTTTAACATATCACCGTATGAGCCATAATCACCAAAACGATATTTAACTTTTAAATTATTTACTTTTCTTAATGATTCTTCTGAAACAATAATAATAAAGTAAAAGTAATGAATAATTATTGAAATTTATATTATTGAAATTTTATATTATTATATTATTATTTATATTATATTTACATTATTATTTATATTTTATAATATTTTATTTTATTTATATTATTAAAATTCAATTATTGAAATTTATATTATTCAACAAATATTACTAATTACTTTAATCCAATAAAATATTTTATCGTTTTATCAACAACATACTACAATTTTGAATTCCAAATTTTTATCTTCTAATTTGAAATTTATATTAAAATTAAAATACCCGAATTATCGGCTTGCTCATCTAAAATTGGATCATCTTTTAAACGAGCAAAAAATAATTCGAACAATGTATTACGCTGCTTCATTATCCCCGTAGTATTATTTGCATTTCTCGGATACATCTCATTTCGTTCGATCAAACTAAAATCATTCATTTGCATAACATTCTTTTTCCAATAACTTTCATATACTATTTTTTCCTTGAAAAATTAATTCAAATTAAAATTATTAAAAAAGAAAATTTAATTGGATGCTATAATTTAGTTTTCAAATTACGAAAGATTAAATTTAAAATTGTAGAAGTGAGTTTACTCGGTTGATTTTGCTTTCTTCGTTCGACGAATTATAGAAAGAAGAAGAAATGTGAAGTTGGCAGAACGTTTTTGAATAGTAAAGAATCAAGCAAAGCCTTTAAAGCTTCAGTTATTTTAATTTTGAATTTATATTATTGACAAATAAAGCGTACTCCCTCGAATAATTTAATGCCACCCTCTTTAATTGTACGAAATTTTATATTAAATATGGGAAAGAAATATTTTGATGTAATTTCTTTCCAATTAGAACAATGTCAAGAAAAATGAATGAATCATAATTATATAATAAATTTTGATAATATTTTGTTAAAATTTTATTTCCAAAAGTAATCATTACCTAAATAATTAATAAAATTTCTTTGTTTAAATAATAAACAAATAATTAATAATAGCCTAAATGAATTAATTTAATTTTTGTTTAATTGTTAATAACGAAAAGGCTAAATATATTTTTATAAGATAATTTTATAAAATATATAAACAATAAATGATGAAAATTGAATGAATGAAAGAGAAGAAAAGAAAAGAAAATTGGGACAAATTCATATAGGAAAGAAAAATTCGACGAAAAGAAAAGAAGAAAAGAAGAAAAGATTGAGAGGAAAGAAAGTTCGATCGAATAAGGCGAAATTTTGATTAAAATTTTAATTTTAAAGTATTTTTTCTTTTTGTCAGTTTGAAATGGTCAAAAATTTAGTATACATATATGTGTTAGAAATAGAAATAATGAATAGATGGCATATTTTAGTCATTCGTCCATGATTATTACTATTATTATTATTATTTATTACTATTATTTATTATTATTTATTATTATTATTATTATCATTATTATTTAATATTATTATTATTAATTATTATTATTTATTATTATTATTAATTATCATTATTAATCATTATTACTGCTATTGTTATCATTGTCACTATTATTTTGTTATTTACTAAGAAGAAAAAAGATTATGACATTGCTGACAGCTAAGAAGGTAAAAAGATTATTACATTGTTGACAGCTAAGAAAAAGAAATATAGTAATATTGTTGACAGCTAGGAAGAAAAAAAGATTATGATATCGTTGATAGCTTAGAAAAAGAAAGATAATAATATTGTTGACGGCAAAGTATCAATGAAATAATTGTGCAATATTTAGGATAATTAATTTATAAATTTTCAAAGACTTTTGTATTTTCTACTGATTAACACGATTCTTATGATATATTGTTTTTGGTGATTAAAAAATCAATTAATGATTTATTGCAAACAAATTTAAAAATCATTTTTGTGAATTCAAAAAAAAAAGAGTAGCATGAAAACTTTTTATAAAATTATAAAGCATTAATTATTGCCAGCTATTTGTATGATAGCACAATAATTACTAAGGCCCGTTTTTCTTCTCTTATAATTAAGCAATTTTTTAATTACATTCTAATTTTTCATTACTTTCTAATTTTTTGTTTTTTGCTAGAAGCATTTTTAAAAAAAAAATTTTTAACAAATTAAATTATATCTGAAAAGAATTTTTTGATCAATTAATTTTCTCTTAAAATATATCTTATCGCGGCGATATATATAGTTCATAAATGAATTGAAATTTTAAGATTGAAATTTTCTGAAATATCAAAATGAAAAAACTTTTCCTTTTGTCTTTAAAGTCAGATATCATTAATTGTTTTTCATCGTTGAAATGGATAACATCCGGTTAGCTTATGAAATTTTTAGAGGAATGAAATGAAAACAAACTTCCTGACATCTGGTATAGTAATAACATATTGAATGCCTTCCTTATGAAATAATTCTTCAACAATAGCAATCATATTGGGTGGTACCATAATATCCATAAAATTACCCAAATCATTTGTTTCTTTCCAAATATCCAACTTCAATATTAATTAAAATTTTTTTGTAAATGAAAAAAAAAGAAAGCCATTTCAATTAACTAAAAATAATAGTATTGTATTTAGTTAAAATTATAAAAATAAAAAAAATTTGTTTATAAAAAATTATTCATTGCAAATAAGTTATTTATATTATCGCTTAATGATAAAATATCATTTTTTTAAAATCAAATGGTTAATTGTTTACTTAATTAATTAATTACACAATTAATTAATTAAAAAATTTTATTACATAATATTTCAAATTTTTGTTTAAATTGTTTTTTTAAAGACTGTTATAGCATAATGATTGATGTTGCTTGTATTACTGCACAATAATAAAGTATAATTTTTTTATCAAATGATTAATTGTTTACTTAATTATTAATCACTTAATTAATCAATTAAAAAATTTTATTATATAATAATTCAAATTTTGTTCAACTAGTTTTTTTTTTAAAGATTATTAATGTGAATTCTATAGCATAATGATGATTGATGAAATGATAATTCATACATAATATTTTATTCGAAGTATTTATTAAAAGCAATATTTTAGTTTGTCTGCTCCTTTCAAATCATTTCAGCAATGAAATTAAAACAATAATAAAAATTAGGCTCAAGAAAGCGAAAAGAAAGAAAACCTAATTTCTTATTTCCTTTGAAACAATACCTCATATTCGACAGCATTATTGCGTAACCATCTGAGAACATCCATTTGAGCATTATTTTGTGGTACTATCCGATACACCTTGTATGGACCATTATCAGCATTACTGTATCATAGAAATTATTCAAATTAATAAGTTTAGCATTTTCCAAAATTTTTAAAATAAAAAATCGGAAATTTAAAATTAAAATTAATATTATATAACAAAAATTTCATACTAAAATTGAAGTCAAAATTATGGAAAATTAAATTTAAAGTTAATATTATACAACAAAAATTTTTGCTAAATAATTTAAACATTTCTAAACTACAAAATAAAAAATTGGACATTATATTCTATTTAAAATTAAAATAATATTTTAACCAAAATTTTTAATTAAATAAATTTAACATTTCTAAACTATAAAATAGAAAACTAAGGAAATTATATTTTTACTTAAAATTAAAATAATATTTTTTAATGATCAAAAATTATTGATTAAATTAAATTAAGCATTTTTTAAATTTTAAAATAAATAATTAGGAAATTATTATGGCACCAATTTTTTCCTTCCTTTTTTTGATTTTTGTTGCATCAAAATATCGGTCAGATCTTTTCATCTTTTTCGTGTTTTTCTTGTTTTGAAAATTTAACAAAAATTTTGGTAACTTTTTTCTGTGAACGCTGAAATGTCCACTTTTATGATTTTCAGATAATTTCTTCATACTTCTTTTTATGAAAATAATTGTTGGATAAAATACAATAATTTCATCTTCCCTTTTTTCCTTTTACATTTTGTAATTTCGAAAATAATATTTCTTATTTTGAATGGTTCGATTCGATTGTTTATAAATTGAATACTAAAATAATAGTAATAATAATAATAAATAATTAATTCATATACTTCGAACTTAATTATTTTTGTTTGTGATCATATGATTATTTCTAAGTGATTATATTAAAGTAAAAGTGTTAAATTTCAAATGCACAATTTATTAAAATAGGCTTTAATGTATGAGTAAGAAAAAAGAATTGAAATATTACAAACCTTTTAGTGGATATTGTTAAAACTTGTTGCATAACAAGTATTAATAATGGATAAACTGTAAATAACATTGAATGCGATCGCCTTTTTAATTATGCTAAAAAAATAATTATGCTACAAAGATGTTAAGAAATTTTTAGCAACCAATAAATTAGTGTTATGAATTGGCGTGTAAAATAATCGTCGCATTTTCTTCTTTTATCATTTTGAAAATTATGAATTTTATTTATAATTTTTTTCTATAAAATTAAATTGTAATTTAATTTTGATATTATTTTCAAAGGAAAAAATTAAATAAATATAATTGATAACTTTGTAAGACAAAAACTGAATGAAAAACAAAATTGTAACAATTCAATAATTGAAATATTTTCTTTCCACATATAAGAAATGAAATACCGAAATATCATAAATCGATTAATGAATAAATTTAATTATTTCAATTCCTTATGGATTTTTAGTGGAAATGAATGAATGATAAAATAAAATGAAACAATGATAAAATTATTTTTATAGCTTACAGTAAAACAGGAATGGAAGTATATCGAAGAGGAAAGAATGTATGGAAAGGATTGACTAATGAAATGAACAATAATAATATATCAATTTATGGAACAATCTAATATGGAAAAGGGAGAGATGAAGAAAGGAAGGTAAGGAAAAGGTAAGGAAAGGTAAGAAAAAGAAGAGAAAAGGAGAGATGAAAACGATACAGGTAAATAAGATAGGATATATCATCCTATCTTATCCTATCACTATTTGCTTCAAAATTGATGAAGTAATAATATGATAAAAGAAGAGAAGAAAAAAAGAAAGATAAAAGAAATGAAGAAGAAAATTAATTAATTGATAGGTGCGAGAATTTCAAAAAAAAAAAGAACCTAAAATTTAATTTAATTGAACACATTCATGTGAATGATTTAATATGTAAAACGCGTAAAACAATAGTTGTCTGTTAAATATCCAGGTAGAACAATAAGGGAAAAAGGGGATGAGGTGGATAAATGGGAGAAGATGGGAGATGATAGAGGAAAGATACGAAATGTATGTATCGCGGGACTGGATTTTTGTTCAAACAATAAAATATAAATTCTATTTTTATTATCACTACTGATATCAGTAATACAATTGATATGATTATTACTATTACTAGTAATGGAAAAAAATTGATAATAGCTTTATTCAAAACTTATTCAATCAAAAATTACTGTAATTCAGTATTGTAAATGAGTAATGATCGAAATAATGATCGAATTGAAAAAAGGATATTGTTATTTATTTTAGGATCAAATTTATTCAATCAAGAATTGAAAATTACAATTTATTATTATTGTTATTATAATTATTATTGCTAATATTATTAATAGTGATAGTGGTTATTATTATTATTGTTAATATTATAAATAAATAGTTATTGAATAATAATAGGAAATATTATTATATATTTTAAAATAAAACTTATTCAATCAAAAATTAGAAATTAAAATAATAACAAAAGAAATGGAAATTTTGTAGTAATGACTTTCATTGAATTTTCTTCCATTCATTAAAATTTCGATAATTAACGTTTTTCGAAAATCAAATGAATAAAAAGTTTACAATAAATTAATTGCATTTAAAACTTGTTCAAAAAGAAATTGAAATTTTACAGGAAAATTAAAATTAAATCGATAATAAATTGTGACATTCTTCTGACAAATGACTGTCATGATTCTTTAATTTCAATTTTATATATATAAATATTTCTCCTCAACTATTATTCCCGTTCTATCTCAGCCTTCTTTCAATCAACGAAATCCAATGATTTTGATCTTCCGTTTAGAAAGAAAAGCAAAAAATTCTTTTTTTTTTTCATTAATTAATTAAATCAATGGTGGTGGGTGGTATCGGTGAAAAGTGAAAGGGATTTAATGAGTCCGATTAATTTTAAGCAATTAATGGCAGATAGATAAAAAAAAAGTAATGAAGAATTTTTCCGCTATTCTCAACTTATTGTCTATCAGAAAATTCTTCGTAAACAATAAAATCAAACTTTTAATCAAAATTGAAATTGCAATAATTATAAATTTAAAAAGAAGAAATACTAATTAAATTCAAAATAATTAGATTTAATGCATATAATGAATAGTATCAATTAGTAAAAACAATAGTAATAATTATTGCTATTTGACTTTTATTATTTTTGTTTACATTGTTGCTGTCAATAAGTAATGGTATTTAAATATTTGTTAACAAATAATTAAATAAAACATTTTAAGAAATTTTAATTTATTTCCAATTCGAAAAATATTTCTTTCTTTTTTGTATTTAATTTAATAATTTAAAATAATTGTTTTAAAATTAAAAAAGTTGAAAGTTTTCAAAAAATACTTTCTTACCTTTATTTTTTGAAAAGACATGCCAATCATATTGTTTATTTCAAATTGAAAATGATACTTTTTTAAATTTGAATTAAAATTGATAGTAATTAATTAAAGAATATTTCGATAATCTTTCTGTACATTTAATATTAGTTAGCAATTTTGAGATTAATTAAAATTTCTTCTTCCTTTTCTTTTTCTTGAAATTAAACTAATTTGAAACGTTCTGTTAAAGTATTATATTTCAACAATGTTGTATAATGTATTTTCCACAATCGTGTAATTCTGATGAATCCATTGGGGAAAAATCAAAATACATTTCGATATCTAAATACTTTAAAATTATGAACATATTATTTCTTATTTCTTAAAATGATTCGGAACAAATTAATCGAATTAAAATTAAACTAAAATATAAATCATTAGGAGAAATAAGTTTCGATAAAAATAATCCTCGCCATATATAAACTTCGCTCTCTTCTTTCCTCATTCCTCTCCGCCTCTTATGATGATGATGATTCCCATGAAATTTTGTTGTAGAAAACAGGTTTTATATGATTCTCTGCATTAATTAATACTAATAAATCTGCCTAATTAGTATTTGAATATTTGAAGATTGATTGATGAAAACATTTTATAATACACAATTGATTGTTTACTAAAATTTCTTTTGCAATCGTTTGATATTTCAATAATTAAATGGAATGTAAAAAAAAATTAATTTCCTTGGCCTATTTCATATTATAATTTATAATTTACTATTCTCTTTGTCATTTTTTTCATTTCAAATTTTAATAAATTAAAGTTTAAAATAAAAGAAATTAAAAATTGATTGTTTTAGATATTTCATTATTATTAATTTGCATGCTTTCATATTTTTAATGCCAGTATTTCATATATTTTGAAATGTCTTAAAACGATTTCCCTTTCCTTTTCTTATTGTCAATTTTTATTTATAGCTTCACATGACTCCCATCAAATTGTACAATAACAAATATTACTTTCACTACCATTATTATTATTATTATTATTACTATTATTATTATTATTATTATTATTATTATTATTTTCATTACTATTATTATTAATTATTGTTATTTTTATTATCATAATTATTTATTTATTATTGTTATTTATCAGCTCAATTTTAGATTAGATTTTTTATAGATCCGTAATTGATTGTAATATTGTTGCAATTGTACGTTTCAATTTTGTTTTCTTGCATTTTCCTCTTTGATATATGCCGAAATTATCTCTTCATATTT